GTTTCCTGAGTATCATCTGTATGAAAGGTGTTGTAGTAGACAGCTCTCTGCTTTATCCCTTTAATGCCTGTAACAACACGGCGGCATAACATATTCTTCAAATTTTTCATGATAAAGACTCTGAGTTTCTGAGATGCTTAGCCTGTAAGGAAGAGATAAGCATTATACCAAGAACTCTGATTTTATATCCATGTTTCTTGACATTCATTGAGTAAAGCATAGGTAGTCTGCCCATTATGAAATTGGTTATTCTTTTAAGCACTACTGAATAATATAGGAGGTTTGAGAATCTAAAATACTAATAGATAGATGTTGTGTTATTTTAATGTATTGTTTTAATTGGTGACCCATGGGAATTTGAACCCTATAGTATTTCAGTGATTATATTTTTAATCCTGGATTAATTTTATATCACTGAGATGAAAGTATCCACCACTAAATAGTTTATACTACTAGAACACAGTAAACTTAATGTGACCTTTATATTATTATTGAACATTTCCAAAAATACTATTGCATCATATTTATTTTTTATAAAATTTTGCTTGTTTACATCTCAACTAATGAACTAATTAAGATAATCAAGTATAAAGCTAGGGAAGTGATTATATTATTCATAAAATGGTGAATACAGAAAAATACTTGAGATCTTATTCTGAAACATAAATTGTACTTATATACTATCCTCAATTTCACCTACTCATTTCACCTACTTAAAAAGAGATAATCCCACAATTAATAAATGAAAATTTATTAAATTGTTTAAAGTGAAATTTAGAAGAATAAACAATTATAAAAGAGAATTTCAATAAAAGAATATATGCAAACTTAGGAGTTACTCTATAATTCCTTCTTATGTAAACTTTAACAAAAATGTTAAACTATATTATCCATTCAATAACAGATAAAGTGAATTTCTAATATAAATTGATATTATTATGTCACGTACGTTTAATCCCTTTTTAGATACTAGTCAAATTAGTAACTGTATATGCTGTAGAGTATAAATTTAAGAATATAACACTAATGTTAAAGTTTGACATGAATTTTTAAGAGAAATGGTTAGTTAGGAAGGAGCTGAGAGTGACTAATAAGAATGACAGCCAGGCTTGAATGGCATTAATACAAATTTTCTTTCCTCCACAATTATAGTCTGTACTCCTCTGATGTAGAAGTGACATTCTCAAAGTCTTACAATGAAGTTGACCCAATTTTGAAGGTCTACCCTCGAGAAAATGTACCTTTTAGCTAGGCAGAAAAGTTCATGTTGTACTAACCAGGGCATCCAGCAGATGCTGGATTTTCCTGTCCTTAGTACCTCCCTGCCCCACCCCCGCTTTCTCTATCAATAATAATAAACCCCAAGGATGTGATTGGCAACAGTTAAACCCATTTTAGAGTTTAACTATGATGGGGAGTTTAAGTATATTTCATCTTTTTGACAAAATCAAATGACAGTGTCAAAGTAGGGCAGGATAAAATCTTCAGATTGTTGGCTTTCTTTTGCTTTATGATGTGGTATCAAAATGTCCTTATGAAAACAACTTGAGGGAAAGGGTTCATTTGAGCTCAAAAATGCAGTTTATAATCCATTACAGTAGGGAAATCACAGTATCAGGGGGTCAAGAGAACTGGTCTCACTAAATCCAAAGTCAAGTTCAGAGAACACCGAATTAATGCTTGTGTGCTAGTGTCAGCATGCAGTCTCAAATTGTATACAGTCCAGAGTTCATTCCATGAAATAATGGTGCTGCTCATATGCACCAAAAGGTGGGTTTTAACATCCAAATTAACACAACTAAGAAAAATTATCAAACTCATACCTATGGGCTAAGCTGAGTGAGAGAATCATACCAGTGCAACAGCTTTTGGTGAGCATCAAGTTTAACAGAGGCGCTTAAGACAGCAGTTAATCTGCATACACTAAAACTGCAGCTAGTCACTAACAAACATAAATGCATTCTCATGTTTCCAAACATTCATTTTATACAATACAATAAGCATCCATAAGAGAATTCACTGGAAGAAAATGTGCTGTTCTCAAAGCATTCTTTTCTAATGTCAACAGAATGAAAACTTTTTGGTAAGAAGTATGTACTATAAAAATACATGTGTACATAGTTCTGTGTATGTATGCACATGCACATGCGAATATTGCTTTTACAGACATGATCTTTTGGTATTCCAGGCTGAGAACAAACTTGTCAATACTTTAGAATAAAATTGAACTTCTGATACAGTCCCTAGCCTCCTGGGTTTAGCCTTAAGGGAGTATGTTAACATACTTTATAATAAGCTGAGGACCATAGCCAGGGCTTCTTGCATATAAAGCAGGCATTTTGCTAACTGTAATACATCCCCCTCCCTCTCAGATATTTTATCCACATTTCTATTCAGGATCCCACTGTGCCATGTATGTTCTGAACCCAACCTAGAGTACAATTGTTGGTGTGCATTGAAAAGAATATCTGTTTCTATCTCACTCATTCTCTTCTTTCCATAATATGATAGATGAATTAAAATTACCTTTTCTGAAGAAGTGTGAAAAGGTTAACTAGATATTGTGCTATTGCTCTTTGGTAACATTGCTTTGATTCACCTGGAAGAGTGAATCCAAAGCCTCAGTGATCAGAATCATGTGAAGGTTTTTAAATGCATGTTACTAACCCACCCCCAGACTTGCCATTCATCACATCGCAGGTTCAGCATATGAGCTGCAGCTGAAAAGCCCAATACACCATTGTTAACAAGTCAAATACACCATGATAAGATAATACACTGGCTTTTAAATAACCATACTTATTTTTATTAAACTATAATTAGACCAAAGCTTGTAGCCCTGTGTGTAATATAATTTTGAAAATTATCAACTTCTACTGTAGAACAATAAACGACAACACAAAAGACATAACTTTCCAAAGAATAAACCCAATCATATCTAGATGGAAATGAAATGTTTACTCCTTATTTTAACCAGATCACCTAGACTATTTAACTCTCCAAAATAGAACAAACTTTCCCAAAACTCCTCTTCATATGCATAAGCCGGTGTTTCAGGCCTTTCTCATACATTATCACAGACACATGTAATAGCATTTACCATGCAGTGCGTAACTGTCAGAATTACAGTCATCACTCCAACCATGTGACCTAAGTTGCAGCTGTTTTAGATACATACAGAAATATTTGCATACAGGATTGTCAACTTCTGAATAAATCAAATATCAGAAAAATATCCGCAATCCCAGCATTTTCACCAAATGTATTATTACATAGTTTTTGAGTGCCATGCTAAGAAGAAAGTAATACTAACTTTTAAATGAACACAGCTTTTCTAGGGAACCAACCCTTAACCTTAATAAATTACGCATTTCTGCAAATGTCCAGAAATAAAGTACTACAGAAATTAGAGTTCATTTTGAATGGTAGTGTTATATTTTAGTGCAACAAGAAAACTCAATCAACTGTCATAGACATAATTAATATATGCAATGAACCAAGTGGCCAAAACATATTTAACTGTAACATAATTTTGTTTAAAACCTTTGACTATTATTTTAGAAGTTCTGATTTTAACAGAAATGGATATGAGGAACTTTTAACAACTGTTTTTATATAGAGAAAAAAATGTAAACTAGCTTATTTTACATAAAAATCAGATTCTAAAACTTAAAATTTCTGAAAAGTAATATTGCTTTTATTCCTTAACATATCATAGGAAACTCATGAAAGACAATGTTTCTTGTGTAAGTTTACATGTTTTAGTTGTATTATCTAAGTTTTAGATATCTAATTCGTGCCATTCAGTCCCCCAACAGTCTTATTTTCAAAATTCTTTCTACAGTCATTACTTATGTGTAGGAAGCAATATAGTCAAAAAAGCCCTTTTCATCAGGTAAATTATCCTGAAAAAACTGAATAATAATTTGGTTATAGGAACCAATACATTTCCAACACTAAGTATTTACTATAATCTCATGAACTCTATGGCAAACTTGTCCTGAGAACAGATATTATCATTATTCCTTTATGTACCCCAATTTTATATTACGTTTCTGGATGACTATGAAATTAAAATTTCCGTCTTTAAGCTACTTCATACACTGTGCATATTAAGCTATTTCAATAAGTTAGCACTGTTAATCATAATAATGGCAAAGCCCCTGAATGTCCTTAAATTTTCAGAGTGCAAAAACTTCCAGAAGTGGACCCAAAATAATCATAATCATAAATACAATGTATATATGTTATTAATTTCATGTAAATTAATAATGTGAGCTAATGATAGGTTTGAATATTCCATTGGCACACTTTAACTATAGATATATTTGGTAAAATTCATGATTACATAGAAAAGTATTCCATCATAGTTTATATGAAATTTAAGAAACATGAAGTAGGAAAATAATCGCTGCAAAGTTTCGTATCTAGATGATAAGTCTAGTGTGTTAGTTTTGTGTGTTTGCAATGCTAAGAAACTATCATAGATGTTGCCAAAACATGCTGAGAATCTGTGATCTTGTTCGGTGAGCTACTAAATGGGAGAAACTGAAACTGAATGAGACTGTCCTCCTAAACTCGGGTGATCCTGTAAAAATCTAAAGATTAGTCGTACTAGAGGTAATAGCTTGGGCATTACTAAGCTCTGACAGGCACGGGGACTGCAGTGTTATCACAGAGCTTTGATGATCTGATCCACCATTCACCTGAGACCACCAAGCAGCATTCTTAAGCATTCTCCCTATCTCTGTTTGCAGTTGCTGAGCATTTCCTTAGAGTGTGCTTCTGTTCAGCTGAGATACAATATTTTGCTATCTTTCACAAGGCGCTTACAACAACATCTGTAAATAAAAGTGAGGGCATCGCAGAGGCATCATTTCTCATGAACTGAGTACATACTCACTAAGGTGTGGCAGGCACTTCCACACCCGAACACCAGAAACCATGCATAAGCACATATGGGCATTACATCACTAGTTTTGATTTTTTTTTTTCCTTACCAGTCAGGTTCTTTAATCCAAGTTCTTGAAGTCCAAAGTTGCCATCTTTTCTGTAGTTTAGGAATATCGCTAAGGCATAGCGATCTTCATACAGTTTTGTCCCACGAATAATGCGTAAATTCTCCAGAGGCAGGTAACGGAACTGGTTGAGGGCCACCAGTACATAGCCCGTGACTTCTCGGATAGACTGGAAAAGCACAAACAATTGTCTATGGTTAAAAAAAAGGAAATTAACTTGAAAGTTTGTGCATATAGTCATTTAAATAAAAATGAGTTATTTAACTCTAATTTTCAGCTCTTAATTTAATATACTAATTTCCACATGACATTCATACTCATTGGATTAATAATAGAACATCACAAAGTGCTAGAATTTCATTTGAATACGAGTCATATTTCTTTTTAAAATTCATAAATTTTCTTAAAAAATAATGGATTTTGTTTTTTGAGGCATCCTCATACCTGAGATATGAACATACTTAAAGAAATATGTAGTCTATCGTTCATTGATAGACTACAATGACATTACACAGAACCCTCAGTCAGTCAATATATGAGAATATAAATTGGTACTTCTACCAAAGTAGAACCAGTCTGCATTCATTGTAGATGTTAGGACATAATTTTAAAGATGTTTATTGATGTCTAGTACTACATCTATCAAACTGGAACTGTAGATGATCCTGATCTTCCTGAGATCAAGGTTTATGGAGTAAGAACACAAGAGCAAAGAGGAAAGCAAGTTGGACTGCCATAGTAAGAACCATGTTTAATCATACCTGCCCCCAGAGTCAAGCCCTAGAACTCTATAATCTGTCAGTCACTCTTGCACTGATTGAATTGCTAGCTTCAAATTCTTTAAAGACAGGTGAGGGTGTGCTTCAACAACACATGGTCTACAAAGCAACATTCCTTCGTTAATTATATGACAAGTATTTTAGCTGATATATGATCATGATTAAATGTTCTACATCACAATGAGCATAAGGCAAATTTGGAGACATTGCTGAATGAACAATCTTTTATATAGAATATGTCATTTGACATCATTTGTCTTGGCATTCTTCTATTCCCATTTAGGAAGGACTCTTCTTATCAAAAACCTCAAACCCCTTATTGATTCCAGCAGAGGGTGTACATTACTATCAGGGAGAATAGAGATGAAGCAAACTCAGGGGGAAAACAGCTGATTATGATCAAGAATTAATGTTTAACAATTATGCAGTTCATGTTGGAGAATGATTCTAGCTATTGACAAAATGTGCAACTTGCTACAGCTTTTGAACCACATGCTAGTTGAGGCTGCAAATAGTGTTTAACAGTATGGACTTTATGCTTACCTAGAGAATATTATAAATAGCAAGAAACAATTGATCATAAATCTCTCAAATAAGGATCTCTTAAAATGTTTTACTTTCTAGAGGGAATAATAAAAACAATACACCATACCTAGATTTAATGCTGTTATATTTTCTACTATTTATAATATGTTTTCTCCACATATTTTAAATTATTAATTAAATTTAAAACAATCTTATATTACGTATCAATCCAAGTTCCTTTTCCCTCCTGTCCTCCCATTTCCCCTACCATCTCCCCATCCCATCCCTCATCTATACCTCAGCAAGGGTGAGGCCTCCCATGGGGGATCATCAAAGTCTTTCACATCATTTGGTATAGGACCTAGGCCCTCTCCCAATGCCCATTCATGCACTAGGGATAAATACTGGTTCCACTGCCAGAGACTCCATAGACTGTCCAGGCCCCCCAATAGACCAACTTGTTCAGGGGGCCTAGTTACATCTTAAGCTGGTTCCCCAGCTGTCAGTCTGGAGTACCTGATCTCCCACTTGCTCAGGTCAGCTGTTACTGTAGGTTTCCCCAGGATGGTCTTGACCCCTTTGCTCATCATTCCTGCCTCTCTACAACTGGAATCCAGGAGTTTGGCTCAGAGTTTAGCTCTGAATCTCTGCTCTTGCTTCTTCAGCTACTGGATGAAGGCTCTATGATGGCATTTAAGGTAGTCATTAATCTATTTATAGGGGAAGGACATTTAAGGTAGTCTCTGCCCTATTGTTTAGATTCTTAGTCAGGGTGATCCTTGTGGATTCCTGGAAAATTCCCTAGTGCCAGGCTCCCTTTATTAAGGCATCTCTTTCCCTGCTCTCCTTATCTGTTCTTCCCCCATCTGAACCTTCCAGACCCCTTATGTTCTCCTCCCCCTCCTATTCTTTCTTCCTCTTCTTCCTACCTCAGTCCTCCTCATCCCCCATGCTCCCAATTTACTCAGATGTTCTTGGCCCTTTCCCCATCTTGGGGAGTTCATGTTGTCTCCTTTAGGGTCCTCCTTCTTTCCTAGCTTCTCTGAGGTTGTCTGACACTCATTTTCAAACTGTTTCTGAATAAAAATATTCTGTGTTTCAGATCACACGCTGAGATATATATGCTAAGAGCAAACAAAATCTCCGGAAATGGCTCATGACAAGAAGATTTTTTAATGCTTAAAAAACTCAATAACACAGTTTAAGCTAATATTGGCCCATGTAGATCATAGAGATAGATATTTAAAGAGTAAATCAAGTGTTAACCTACCTCATAGGGCCATATAATAATGCCAGTTCTTCATAGTTTCTGTCTTTAAGTCATTAGACAGAATCTCAAAAGCATAACACTTTTTATTGTTCCAAAACTTTGTTATGAAAACAATTACAACTTGGGAGTATATGGGCTATTATATAAATGTATTGTAGATAATTTAAGTGTCTACAGTAGTAAAGTATAATGGCAGGAGATATGGGCTGGCCCCCCCTTGAAATCTAGCCTTTGTCCTTTCTAGTTATATAAACTTCATGAAGCTTTTAAGTCTCAAAAATCTTTGGCCTTTTCATCTTTAGAAAACTCATAACAATATCTTTATGACAGAGCTGTTATAGGCATTTTAAGATACAAAAAAGTTTACAGCAAATTGTATTTAATAGATGTTAGCTATTACCAATATTATTTGGAAAATAGCCAGGCAGACAAATTGTCTCAGAACAATTAACTGAAGTTAAAATGGTCATAATATCATTGCATAAGAACTATTGTTTTAAATCGCTGTTATATAATCTTCAGCACACTTATGTCTTACCTTTAAAATTCACAGCTTATTTCTAAAATTCAAAAATGACTCCTACTTTTTCATATCCATATTTCCGCTCTTAGTACCAACCCTGGTGTTGAAAAGACATTCAACAGTGACTGCTTAATAGAGTCGAATTGAAATTTAAAAGCAATGCTTTTAAGTCTTATAGCTATTACTTTCCAAACAAAATACTTTGTGAGCTTACCTCTAATAGAAAACATGGAAAAACAAATTTGCTGTTTCTGCTTATGTACCACAGTAACAAATTGAAATCACTAGAAAGTCCAATAAGAGAAAACCGTCACTATGGTTTTTCTCTGAAGAAATTCAGAGTCAGAAACTTGTCAAAAGCAAGAGTGTATAGCCACCTAGAGATGCACCATCTTCTGTAAGGGGTTAGCATCTGTTCAAAGGCCATATAGTCTGTATTGGCTCTGCAACAGCTTAGCTCAGGGAACGAATGAAACTGAAGTTCATCAGGGCCTTGAATGCTTGAGAAATCTCGTAACCAATAAGAATGCACCTTTCCTTATAGCAATTAGGGAAGGAAACGAAGGATAGCTATGGAAAGTCTTCAGGCTAACTATACCATCCTTGTACCTGCAGAGTTCTCCGGAAAAGCCTGTCTTTACTATTTTCAAACTTCTAAGTTACTTTCCAGTTCTTTAATCGACACAAGTCACGATTTGATTTTTTCTTCCTTCCTTCTTTCCTTCCCTCATTCTTTTCTCTATCCTTCACCATGTTTCCCTTTTTCTTTTATTTGTATTGTTTTCTTTCTCTCACCACGGCCATATATATATGCATATATATATATATAATTATATACATAATATATATTAGATTCCCAAATGTGTCTTTATCTGAACCAAATCCATACTTACTGATTTACTTTCATACAAGCATGGAGATGCCCACCATTTCCTACCTATGCCTGTTTTAAAGCATCTCTAGCATTTAACATCCTTCTGAAGTGTTCTTCTGCTGTGCTTTACGTTCTCAGACCTGATGAGAAATCACCCTAAACACTAACACATTCTGTGAGTGAGAACGTCCATAAATACAACAGTGATTAGTTTGCTGAATAGACTGGAAGCTAAATGACTGCAGTATCATGAGGAGTAGGAAACAGAAAACCATAGTGACAGGAAATAGAATGGCTGAGGGGTACAAAGTTCCCTCTGTTGGTAGTGAATGCAGAATTATGCCTGCTTTGACGGTGACAAATGTAGGAGCAAATCATAGCTTCTGTATCAGTAAGATTTTCTATTAACTTCCCTAAGGCAATTACCTTCTGTCCCTGCCCCTCCTATCATGTCTGGGAATATCTAAAGCAGGCACATTCTTAACTATGACATATATTAAGAAGTTTACCAGAAAAAATTAATAAGTTTATAATGTGCATTGCATATTCCTTCTGCTTGTAGAGATAGTGTGTTTTGCTTTGAGATTCTGCTTTCAGTTCCTCACTGTTTGAAATTCAACACTTAAAACACTCTGATGTAATTAGATTTGGACAAAAAAGCATTTGAAATGTCATGTAACACACTGTGGTAGAATACAGTTCTTACTCACTGTGTCCAACATGAAGCCACACTAAAGGGTTAGAAAATCTGATCCCAGTCATCCTAGAAAAATGGCACTCAGCCACTATCGTCAGTTTCATGTGCTAACCCTGCCATGATTCTACGAACCTGTGGGACATTCATTCAGCATGGACTACTTAGCCAGTACTTAGCATGAACCTGACTTATTTGCAATGAACACTTTCAGCCCATTGTGAATTGGAGTGCTACTCTCTTTCTCCAGAAATAACCAACTTCTCTGTGTCCTTTATATTATCCTGAGCAGTGTAGAGAAAACTTCTTAGTATTTACTCAGGTCTGTTTCCAGTTGGTCCTACTTTCCTAGGCTTTATACAGACTATATCACCAATCCATTTAGCTTTGTTAATTATAATTGTCCCTATAATAACTCTTCACTTTGAATACCTTCATAACAAACTTCAAAGAAATGGTGCAAAACCATACTGGAACAAAGAATGTATACTTTTAAAAAGCAGC